TAAGCCAAGTTTTCATGAATTAATTGTTTTTCGACTACCTAACCTACCTAACCTAACCTAACCTAACTTTTTCGGCTACCTAACCAAACCTAACCTATAAAGATAGGTTAGGTTAGGTTAGGTAGGGTTGGTTAGGTTCGGTCATATATCTACGTTAATTTTAACTCCAATAAAAAAAATTGACCTCATACATAATGAAATGGGTAGCTTTATCATTTCATAAGAAAAAAATTAGAAAAAATATATTAATTCAGGAAAACTTGGCTTATTAGGCAAATCGGGCCTTGAATAGTAGGCCAAAAAGTGAGTTCTGGCTACTAGGTACGACATATATATATATATATATATATATATATATATATATATATATATATATATATATATATATATATATATATTTATATATATATATATATATATATATATATATATATATATATATATATATATATATATATATATATATATATATATATATATATATATATATATATATATATATATATATATATAAAATGCTCCCACAAGGCATATATGCAACTGAAAACTCCACACCCCAGAAGCCTGGGAACCGTTCAGGCTTGTTTGCATTTGTGTTGCACACGTGGCCCCCAAAAATGACGCGATTTGAAAAAATAACTATGTCAAACATAGCCATCAGAGTGCCGTCGGGATGATGGGCAAATAGCCTCGGCTACCATCATCTTTTGTACAGTAGTGATGGTCGAGTGGTTAAGGTCTCCTGTACACCAGTTGCATAGTGCACCTGGCAGTATGGTTTCGAGTCACTTCTGGGGTGTATATGTGTGTAATTACCTAAGTAATTACCTAAGTGTAGTTACAGTATGAGAGCTACGCTCATGGTATCCCGTCTCCCCAGCACTCTTTGTCATATACAGTATGTCATACTATTGTATGTGTATGTGTATGTGTGTGTGTGTGTGTGTGTGTGTGTGTGTGTGTGTGTGTGTGTGTGTGTGTGTGTGTGTGTGTGTGTGTGTGTGTGTGTGTGTGTGTGTGTGTGTGTGTGTGTGTGTACTCACCTATTTGCACTCACCTATTTGTGCTTGTGGGGGTTGGGTTTTGGCTCTTTGGTCCCGCCTCTCAACTGTCAATGAACTGGTGTTCAGATTCCTGAGCCTACTGGGCTCTATCATATCTACATTTGAAACTGTGTATGGAGTCAGCCTCCACCACATCACTGCCTAATGCATTCCATCTGTTAACTACTCTGACACTGAAAAAGTTCTTTCTAACGTCCCTGTGACTCATGTGGGTACTTAGTTTCTACCTGTGTCCCCTTGTTTGTGTATCATCAGTATTGAATAGTTTATCCTTGTCTACCCTGTCTATTCCCCTGAGGATTTTGTATGTAGTGATCATGTCTCCCCTTACTCTTCTGTCTTTCAGTGTTGTAAGGTGCATTTCCCGCAGCCTTTCCTCGTAACCCATGCCTCTTAGTTCTGGGACTAGTCTAGTGGCATACCTCTGAATTCTCTCCAGCTTCGTCTTGTGCTTGACAAGGTACGGGCTCCATGCTGGGTCCACATACTCCAGGATTGGTCTTACATATGTGGTATACAAGATTCTGAACGATTCCTTACACAGGTTCCTGAAGGCTGTTCTGATGTTAGCCAGCCTCGCATATGCCGCAGACATAATTCTTTTTACGTGTGTGTGTGTGTAGTTACTTAAGTATAGTTACAGGATGAGAGCTACGTTTATGGTGTCCCATCTTCCCACCACTCTTTGCCATATAACGGGGTGTGTGTGTATGTGTGTTTATTCATCTAGTTGTATTCATTTAGTTGTGCTTGCAGGGGGTCGCGCTCTGCTCTTTGTCAATCAAGAACTGTTTGCCGCTCAACTCTCAATCAATCAACTGTTATGAACTACCATTTGTATTATTTTTTTCACACACACACACACGTCACCAGTGTGTGTGGGGGCGCCGGTGTGTGTGGGGGCGCTGGTGGCTATGTGGATAGCACTCTGGACACGTGATCCTGTGGCATGGTTTCGATTCCCGGCGCCGGCGAGAAACGATGGGCAGTTTCTTTCACCCTGATGCTCCTGTTACCTAGCAGTAAAATGGGTACCTGGGTGTTAGTCAGCTGTCACAGGCTGCTTCCTGGGGGGTGGAGGCCTGGTCGAGGACTGGGCCGCGGTAAAGCCCCGAAATCATCTCAAGATACCCTCAGGATAGCCTGTTACCTAGCAGTAAATAGGTACCTGGGAATTAGTCAGCTGTCACGGGCTGCTTTCTGGGGTGTGTGTGTGTGTGGTGTGGGGAAAAAAAATAGTAGTTAGTAACAGTTTATTGTCAGTTGAGAGGCAGGCCGAAAGAGCAGAGCTCAACCCCCACAAGCACAACTAGGTGAATGCACACACACACACACCCAGGAAGCAGCCTGTAACAGCTGTCTAACTCCAGGTACCTATTTCCTGCTAGGTAACAGGCGCATCAGGGTGAAAGAAACTCTGCACATTGTTCCTCGCCAGCGCCGGGATTCGAACCTGGGCCACAGGATTACGAGTCCCGTGCACTGTCCACTCAGCTACCAGAGCCCTAAAAAAAAAACACATGACCTGTGTGTGTGTAATTACCTAAGTGTAGTTACAGGATGAGAGCTACGCTCGTGGTGTCCCGTCTTCCCAGCACTCTTTGTCATATAACGCTTTGAAACTACTGACGGTCTTGGCCTCCACCACCTTCTCACTTAACTTGTTCCAACCGTCTACCACTCTATTTGCGAAGGTGAATTTTCTTATATTTCTTCGGCATCTGTGTTTAGCTAGTTTAAATCTATGGCCTCTTGTTCTTGAAGTTCCAGGTCTCAGGAAGTCTTCCCTGTCGATTTTATCAATTCCTGTTACTATTTTGTACGTAGTGATCATATCACCTCTTTTTCTTCTGTCTTCTAGTTTTGGCATATTTAATGCTTCTAACCTCTCCTCGTAGCTCTTGCCCTTCAATTCTGGGAGCCACTTAGTAGCATGTCTTTGCACCTTTTCCAGTTTGTTGATGTGCTTCTTAAGATATGGGCACCACACAACAGCTGCATATTCTAGCTTTGGCCTAACAAAAGTCATGAACAATTTCTTTAGTATATCGCCATCCATGTATTTAAATGCAATTCTGAAGTTAGAAAGCATTGCATAGGCTCCTTGCACAATATTCTTAATGTGGTCCTCAGGTGATAGTTTTCTATCTAGAACCACTCCTAGATCTCTTTCTTTATCAGAATTCTTTAAAGATTTCTCACATAATATATAGGTTGTGTGGGGTCTATGTTCTCCTATTCCACATTCCATAACATGACATTTATTAACATTAAATTCCATATGCCAAGTGGTGCTCCATATACTTACTTTGTCGAGGTCACCTTGAAGGGCATGGCAATCATCTAAGTTTCTTAAAACAAATCCACAAGGGCCGTGACACGGATTCAAACCTATGTCCGGGAGCATCCCAGACGCTGACTTAATCGACGGAGCTACGACATGGTCAAACTACACTGAGCTACGTGTGTGTGTGTGTGTGTGTGTAATTACCTAAGTGTAATTACCTAAGTGTAGTTAAAGGATGAGAGCTACGCTCGTGGTGTCCCGTCTTCCCAGCACTCTTTGTCATATAACGCTTTGAAACTACTGATGGTCTTGGCCTCCACCACCTTCTCACCTAACTTGTTCCAACCGTCTACCACTCTGTTTGCGAAAGTGAATTTTCTGTTACTATCATCCGACTTCCGGATGATGGCGGTTTTCCCCGATGGCTCTGTACTAGTGTGTGTGTAATTACCTAAGTGTAATTACCTAAGTGTAGTTACAGGATGAGAGCTACGCTCGTGGTGTCCCGTCTTCCCAGCACTCTTTGTCATATAACGCTTTGAAACTACTGACGGTCTTGGCCTCCACCACCTTCTCACTTAACTTGTTCCAACCGTCTACCACTCTATTTGCGAAGGTGAATTTTCTTATATTTCTTCGGCATCTGTGTTTAGCTAGTTTAAATCTATGGCCTCTTGTTCTTGAAGTTCCAGGTCTCAGGAAGTCTTCCCTGTCGATTTTATCAATTCCTGTTACTATTTTGTACGTAGTGATCATATCACCTCTTTTTCTTCTGTCTTCTAGTTTTGGCATATTTAATGCTTCTAACCTCTCCTCGTAGCTCTTGCCCTTCAATTCTGGGAGCCACTTAGTAGCATGTCTTTGCACCTTTTCCAGTTTGTTGATGTGCTTCTTAAGATATGGGCACCACACAACAGCTGCATATTCTAGCTTTGGCCTAACAAAAGTCATGAACAATTTCTTTAGTATATCGCCATCCATGTATTTAAATGCAATTCTGAAGTTAGAAAGCATTGCATAGGCTCCTTGCACAATATTCTTAATGTGGTCCTCAGGTGATAGTTTTCTATCTAGAACCACTCCTAGATCTCTTTCTTTATCAGAATTCTTTAAAGATTTCTCACATAATATATAGGTTGTGTGGGGTCTATGTTCTCCTATTCCACATTCCATAACATGACATTTATTAAGATTAAATTCCATTTGCCAGGTGGTGCTCCATATACTTATTTTGTCCAGGTCTTCTTGAAGGGCATGACAATCATCTAAATTTCTTATCCTTCCTATTATCTTAGCATCATCAGCAAACATGTTCATATAATTCTGTATACCAACTGGTAGATCATTTATGTACACAATAAACATCACTGGTGCAAGAACTGAACCCTGTGGTTCACACACACAACCCTGTGTGTGTGTGTGTGTGTGTGTGTGTGTGTGTGTGTGGAAAACAAATAAATTGTTAGTACAGTAGTTAGTAACAGTTGATTGATTGACAGTTGAGAGGCAGGCTGAAAGAGCTGAGCTCAACCCCCGCAAGCACAACTAGGTGAATACAAGGTGAATACACACACACACACATATACTCATACATACATACAGTATTTTATTTTTATAACCATATTTGTATACTCCCCTTTAAAACTCACCTTGTCAATTGGGTAACCCGAGAGTTGCTGGTAATACTTGTTAAGTCTCTCATGTTTTACAAATTCGGGGTTGAGGCAGTTGTTATTGTTCACAGCACACTTTTCTGAAGTGGACTGGTTGGTGGAACTGGAACTTCCTGTGGACGATGGTTGTCGGATCCCTGAATTACTGCTAATGGTTTGGACACACTTTTCTAGGTTTCCTCCCTGGACGACTGGTGGTGATGTGTTTCTATTAGTTTGAGTGGCACTTAAAGATAGAGGGGTGGAGGACAATAATCCACTGACTGTGTGGCTACTGATGCTGTTTGTTTTACATGTGGAAGAGCTTGCTGTAACAGATGCAGTCACACCAGTTCTACTTGTAGTGGTGGTAATGTCGGAAGTTGGGCAGGGACTTTGACTATTTTGTCTAGTAACATTCTTAATGTTACTAGTAGAAGCTGCAGAACTGGATGAAGAAGAGGTAGATGAAGTGGTAACAGCAGTCGAATTTCCTGACCATCGAGAAGAGTTTTTTGGGTGATTACTGCTACTGGAGAAAGTAAGAGAAGACTGCATCACACCACGTGATGCTGATGGACTGTTCTGATGACTTTGGTTTCCTACTGTTCCTTCAACGTCACCTCCTGATGAACCTCCAGGTACTCTAGTTCGAGAACCTGAGCGTTCTGATTGTCTCTGGGACCGACTTCCGGATGATGGCGGTTTTCCCCGATGGCTCTGTACTAATGAAGTGGTCCCAAGAGGTGTATTTGAATGATTAGTACCAGCTTGAGTTGTTGTAACTGTTTGAGTAACAACTATAGCATGTTTGTGTGCTGGTTGAGCACTTGAATGAACAGACGATATTATGCTGGCAGAAGTTGTTGATGTTGAGGATGTAATGGTAAGTGGAAGATTGGCTGCTGTTGTGGTTGTTGTAGTTGTTGTGGTTGTAGTAGGCCGAGACAAAGGAGATGAGGCACGACTAGGACTTAGCGACTGCAAAGGCGAAACATAAGGGGAGGACTGTGGAGAGCTTAGTGGAGAATTGGATGCTGGAGGCCCATTATGGTTAACTAATCCCCCACCACTTTCCTCACTGCTTGAGCCATCAGAGTTTGATCTTTTACCTTCTGGCATACAGCCCGGAACTGCCCCAACCATTTGAGGATACTGGTAGTAGTGGAAGTTGCCAGGGTGATTACATGGGTAGCTGGGTGCCATTGTCAGTGCAACTGTTCAGAAAAACACAAAACATTTATTACAGATTGATTAAAAGGTAATGAATTTCATTTAGTAAATATTAAAAAGCTTAAGAATTAAAATAATAAATATTTTCAGTAATTTTAGTGACATGATTAATTATGAAATGCATGGACCTAACTCTGGAAATAATCAAATCCGAAGACAAATGACAAGTTGTGAAACGTTGTAAAATTTAATTACACAGTACAAACAAAAATGCTCACTGGGCTTTGCAAACAGATACTTCATAAAAATGTAATATGGAAGCAAATGATACTTTGCTTCTATTAAGAAAACCAGCATTAAATGTAATGAAGCACCATTTTCTAGGTGAGTCCCAAAGACTCCCTGGAGCTATAGAACTGATATTAGCTATATTAGTCTAGGGCTTCAGTCACATGAAGTTGTCATGCCTACCGGAAACAACGAGCCAGAATCTGGTTCCCTCAAAGGGACACAGGAAGCAATGACCTATGAAAACATCTCTCTTTGAGAGTATATTCATGTCTGCCATCGACTGGGGTTGGGCACCCAGAAAGGTAGGCATCTCAAAACAGACTTCAACTAGTAAAAAAATGCAACCGGAGACCGAAAGAGAGGCTAAGAACTCATCCTAAGAAAAACAATGAAACAAGCAAATTGTCATCAACCTCCCGGGAGAGACCACCGCCCCACCGAGTCGGCCGTCGGTGAACCAGTTTGGAGACTGAGCAACCGGAAGAAAAAAACAGCGTTGAATGTAATGAACCGCCATTTTCTGGGTGAGATCCGGAGGCTCCCAGGACCTTACTAGGCTGATATGCTAATGTCAGAATTTGGCATTAGTCATGTGTATGGAGTTCTGTGGGCCTACCGGGGACCACGGCCAGAATCTAGCTCCCTCAGAGAGGCAAGGGGAGCAATGGCCTATAGAAACCCCCATGGGGTTGGAAGCATTCTATGTCTGCCATCGACCGGGTCAGGCGCCCAGAAAGGTAAACGTCCCAAAACAACCCCTATTCTGGTGAAACTGCTACCACAAACCGAATAAATGGATAGAACTCCCCTAAAGAAACAAGCAAATGATCATGACGTCGCACGTCGCCGTGCCGCTGTCTGCGCGGCAAATCAAAATCAAAACAGACTACTGAATGGTTGAAAAATGAGACCAATGCCATCAAGATATCAAAAGAACTCCCCCAACAAAAGAACAAATGACCAAAACTTCGTCAAACCAGCCCCCATGCTAACTAGCACTACCTCCCCCTTGGGGGGAGGGGGAAGCCAGCCTGGGTTAGCCGTACTGCCATTGGTCAGTTTTGGAATTATGAAATTCCTGAATTTTATAATTTCATCTCTCTGACACCCTCCCTCCAGCTGCTGACTGGAGGGAGGGAGGATGTCAGGGAGCCTTTGGGGCTCACCCAAAAACTGGTGTTTCATTACATTCAATGCTGAATTTCTGAGGGAAGCCCCTGTTGGCTCCCAGAAACTAACTACCCACAAAGCAAGGAAAACATGGGACCAACCAAGGAGACAGAAGCATTGCAGGTATCAACTCAAAGGCAAAACAGGCCTTTGTGACACACCCCAAAGCAGCACAAGGCTGCTGAGAACCGAGGACAGTAACAAGATACCAGGCCGGCAAGACCCCAGGCACCTACCAAAACCCTCGTATCTGAATAATGGCCCAAGATGAGCAAAAACAGCCATCAGAGGCATACACACGGAGAGCAAGAACATGAGGGAAGACCGCGGGCTGGCTAGACTGAACAACACTGTGGATGACCTGATACACACAAGCCCCGGAACAGAGAACCAGGGAAACCGGAAAAACCTACAAAAGCCCACTGACGTAGAACCGACAGCACGACGGTAGTAAAGTAAAGTCGTCAAAGGATAAAGCATGCTTTGAACCCCTGGCTGAACCAATCAGGTATCCACAAATGTATCTATACCCCTCCGGAAGCCAGCCGAAACACTTCTCGGCAGAAAAGGAGACGGCTGCAACTGAACAAAACACCCACAAGGGCCAAGGAACAAAAAGTTACCAAAAAACCAGCGTTGAATGTAATGAAACGCCATTTTCTGGGTGAGACCCGGAGGCGACCCGAAGGCTCCCTGGAGCTTTACCAGGCTGATATGCTAATGTCAGACTTTGGTATCAGTCATGTGTATGGAGTTTTAGGGCCTACCTGAGGGAACCTGGCCTCCTCAGAGGCAAGGGAAGCAATGGCCTACAGAAACCCCCATGTGGTTGGAAGCATTCTATGTCTGCCATCGACCGGGTCAAGCATCCAGAAAGGTAAGCATTCCAAAACAAACCCCTATTCTGGTTAAAATTGCTACCAAAAGCCGAACTAGTGGATAGAACTCCCCAACAGAAAACAAGCAAACTAGTATGACGTCACACGTCACCGCGCCGCTGTCTGCGCAGCTCCCCCCTCCCCGGGAGGAGAAGGGGGAGCCCCAGACCTCTCACGTCGGCTATCCACCCATCAGATCTGAGGCTGGATGTCAAAACACGCGAAAAACAGCCGACCGGAGGGAGGGAGGGTTGCTGGAGAGCATCCGGGTCTCACCCAGAAAATGGCATTTCATTACACTCAACGCTGGTTTTCTGGGGGGAGCCCCGTCGGCTCCCTGGAGCTAACTACCCACAGAGGAAGGTCTAAGGGAAGGAACCGCGAGGCGGACACCACGCACCCCTCAGTGGAAGCGAGACAACCGGCAGCCAAAGCCAACCCAAGGCGACACAGCCTGAAAAGAGCCCGGGAACAACACGAGACAATGAGCAGCAAGGCCCCAGAATGAACACCGAAGATCAGTGCCCGAATGACAGCAAGGACACGCTGCCCAGACGGCAGCAAGAGCAGCGAAGCCACGAACGCCACGGGCATGGGGAAAGAACACAGTTAGGCTAGCCGCAAAAACACGGCTAACAATCCGGGACACCGTCACCCGCGAACAGGGAAGAATGGAACCGGATCAACTCAAAGCGCGCACCGGGCATAAAGGTTGTGGCATGCAAATAACAGAGGAGGGCCGCCACTGAACATAAAACACGACACACCCCCGGCCCGACCAACCAAGCACCAACAGCCCAAGGACCCCCTCCGGAACGCAGCAGCCCCATCCTGTGCCAGAAAAGATGGAGACCGCTGCCACCGAACAACCAAAACGCCAAAACCGAAGGAGCATAAAAAACGCCTGTAGAGGAGCAAGAAGCCCAGCGACCCGACCCCCAGAGGCAAATGCCAACAGGAAAAAGAGCCGACGAAAAAACAAACCGGAACCGAAAGGGAACCACCATCCGAGGAGAAGACAGAGCACGCTGACCCGAGACCAGGACAGTGCAAGCGGCGCACAAACAGGCCAGAGGTGAAACAACGCACGAGACTGCTTACTAATGGTGCAGAAGCAACACCAAAACCGAAAGCCAGCCGAAGCGGCTCCGCCAGCGCCGCACGAAACGAAGCGACAGTACGTGGCAAGACGACGGCCGCCCAACCCCCACCAGAAAAACCAAGTTGACGCTAACAACTGCAGCCACCTAAGAAGGGACATGAGGAAAAGGAAGGACCACCAAAATACCCCATACTGCTGCCAAGAAGAAGTACGCAGGTGGGACACCTACCACGAAGCCGCCAGACCACCAACCGGAGGGGAGACACACGAGGCAGAATGTAAGCAGTCCCGACAAGGCACCTCCGAGCCCAGGAAAAGGCAGAGCCACGGGAAGATCTCGGGCGTGACCACCAAAGCCCAGGCGGCACAAAGGAGATGGAATGTCTGTCAAACAGAAAGCTCCCCAATGCTAGCAAGCCCACCAGATCAGAAACGACAGGTCCGATGTGAGACATCACAAGACCCTGAAAGGCAACCGGCAGGGCAAGCCAGGACAACCGAAGAAGGCGTAAGGGTTGCCACCAGAACAGTACCCGAAGCAAGGGGTACAAGCAATGAAAACAGACCAAGACACATAAGGGCACCATAGGACACAGGCTGAAATAACGCCCAAGAAGCCAAGGAACGCATGAAGATCACCCCTGTGGCAGAGGAAACAAAGGGAACGCACAAGGAAGGAAAGCAGTAGAAACCGACCTCCCCCCCCCTATAGCAGCAAGTGCAGGCAAAACCGACCAAAGGAGATGCCAGGGAAGCGACTGGGGAAAAGCAGGACAAAAGAGCCAAAGCGCAAACCCCAGGATACAACCAGGGGTGGACAATCAGGCAGGGACAGAACCCCAGGCACATGGGAGGGCCAAGCCAGGGACCCGAAGACAGCGAAAAATAACAAGCAAACCCCCCGACGCAAACCCTAGGCACAAAATACAGCAAAGTGCCACACCACAACCTGACACAGGAACAAGGACACGCCACCGCGAAACACGGTACCAATGCACACGTGCTGCAGCAACATGCACCACCGCAACACGCAACATGTAAGTAGCAACTTGCCTCTACAAAGGCAAAGAACGGTGCAGGCAGACCTCAGACAGGGCCAACTGAGACACGACAGAACCCAGTAGGCCCAGGAACCTGCACACCCGGCGACCGACGGCGGAGATACCTGCTGGATGAGGTTCAGGGAGTTCATTTACTCCCCAAGCCCGGCCCGAGGCTAGGCTTGACATGTGAGAGTTTGGTCCACCAGGCTGTTGCTTGGAGCGGCCCGCAGGCCCTCAAACCCACCACAGCCAGGATGGGCCGAAACCTCTATTCAAAAACAGGCTAGTGTTCCTAGGAAGTCCACGGATGTACCGGCAATATGGCGGATGCTCGCAGGTAGGATGTGTAACAACCGCAGACCTCTGATGTTTATACAATGTTCCCCGAGTGTGCCCATGGCACCACTGCACTCCACTGGTACTATCCCGCATGTTCTTCCATATAGGCGGGACCCAAGAACCAGAGCTCAAACCCCGCAAGCACAACCAGGAGAGCCCTACCAGGTGAGTACATAACCAGCACCACAACCCACACACCTCATAACACAAAAGAGGTGGGTCCCCTGAATGACTCTAGCATGGGTTCGACATGCACATGAGTGGGACTGGAAGGGTTGAAAAGGGACAGTCACTGGTGTGCTAACGGTCTAATTTATACATAAATATACCTAAATAAAGACAGGTATATAAACATCTTCGCATCCAACGCCCGGCCAAAAGACGCCAGATCGCAGAAACTCACCTGGCGAACGGAGGCACGAACGTGACATGGCCCAACAGTGCCCAGAAGATCCTGGGAACACCGCCAGGTGAAGAAACCAGAGCCGGACACGCAGGAGAGCAGGGTAGAGGCGAAGGAGGAGGCCCACACCCATGACACAGGGAAAACCACGGCGTCTTCCCCACAGCTGGAATCCAGAACACCCCCGGAGCGAAGGGGCACATATCGGAGAAGGGAGAAGAGTGAGAGGTGAAGCACCCGAGAAAAAAGGGTGCAAAACACCAGCACTGAAACACACCGCCCAGACCAAAACAAACTCTACGGCGCATGTGCATGACATGCTGGCCGAACCGCACAACCTGCGCTGCGGGAAGGCGCCAACCAGGACTACTGCACCAGAAAAGTAGCCAAACAGAACACAACCCCAGGGAACCGCGAAGTAGAAAAACAACCCACCCATCACACGGGATAGGAGCCAAAAGAGGAAGCAGGAACAACAAAACCGGCCAACTAAGCGAAGACAAGGAGCCCAAAGGGAACCCAACCGGGCCATGAGTAGCCCAACTGGGCTACAAGAAGCCCAACTGGGCCACAAGTAGCCCAATACGGCGACCTGGTCTAGGAGCCGACAGATGTTCCAATAATACGGGAAGTAGCGAAAACCTTCCCGAATCCTCGAGAACACAGAAGCAAACACCAGTCCCGAAGGCACACAAAGGCATAGTCGCACCCGAGACCAGAAGTCGTGTAGAACCCTAAGAACGGGGAAACATGACGAAGACACCGTCCCAAAAAGGGGTGGGGCATCCACCCACAGGACGGAACCAACCGACTCAAAGGACATGGAACCAAGCCCGGGGTGGGGCCGACGCCCAACAGCACGCACAGCGAGGGGGGGAGGGGGGAGGGAAGGAAAACCCCCCGCAGGGTCCTTCCTACAAGGCCAAGGGCCCCCCCCCCAAGTCAGCGCCTTCCCAGCCCGGGGAACCCACACGACAGGCCCCGGGGCCGAGCCATCCCCCCAAAGCCCCGGCCGTACCAGGAAACCGGGACAGCCGCGAAAATACTAAGGAAGGGAGCCCACTGGCAGACTCTTACAACACGGCTGGAGGAACAGGCTCAAATGCCCCCATCACTACCCCGGAAGGGAAATTCCCCAAGACTGCCAGAGTCTCAAAACCATCGAACCCCGCAGACGGTAAAGAACCAGATGTAGGCAGGAAGGGGGGATCCAGGGGAAAGACAAGGGGGCGTGGAAGGAACCGAAGCAACCAACATCCCTAAGTCCCAATACGAACCAAAACGGGGCAGCCCCGGGGCTCCTGGGGAGTAAACAAATGAGAGCATTGCCACCACCAAGGCTCAAAGTGCAACGCCCCTGCTGCCCACACCCGCTTAGTCAGCACAACTGGGTAACTGAGCCACAACGAGCAACAAAACTCGCAGGACTTCGGGTTGGTGTCACCGACCCCACAGGCAGCAGACGGAGGCAAAACAGAGTCACCCTGAGACAAGGGGTGAGAGCAACCCTCAAACTCGCTGGAAGCGAGGGGGGACTCCGGGGTCACATCCATCGGACCCGCGCGCCCCCAGGGGTTTCCCAGGGTCCCGAGTGTTTACTATAAGAGGACTCGCACTCAGGTAATACCAGGCAGGGTACTGGTAACCGGCGCCCAAAGCTACCAAACAACTTTCTAAGAGCTGAACCCCCAAGACGTGTACACTCACGGGGACCTAGCGGGGGAAACCACCAGAAAAATACTCAGAACACAAGGGACACAAAGGGGCAAGAATGAAGGCAGACCCCCACCAGGTAGATAAACAAAAAATAAAAATAAAACCCTGCAAGAGGACAGCGTACCCAAGCGGAACAGTGCCGGCCGCCATGATTGGTGGAAACAAGCTGCACAGTACCCTGTGCCCCACCAGTGCAAAACTGCCCCTTACCCTAAGGCGAACAAGGGAGACAGAACACCCGAGCACACAAAGAGCGGGCGAAAACTAAGCAGTAAACGGCCTAGCAGGGGCAGATCCCAAAGAACTTGTGGAAGGTGGCCCCAAGGGCAGTACTTACAGGGCACCTACAAAAGGGAACCCAAGGCCCATGCAGCACAAGTACTGGAGACTCACTCCCGGCTCACGCACCACCTAGAAGACAAACACCACACTCTAGGTACAGTGCTGAAACAACTATTGGAGCCGGAGCACACAACTGGTGCCTATAGCATCAGCCGAAGAACTGATGGGTGGATAGCCGGCGTGGGAGGTCTGGGGCTCCCCCTTCCCCCTCCCGGGGAGGGGGAAGCTGCGCAGACAGCGGCGCGGTGACATGTGACGTCATACTAGTTTGCTTGTTTTCTGTTGGGGAGTTCTATCCACTAGTTCGGCTTTTGGTAACAATTTTAACCAGAATAGGGGTTTGTTTTGGAATGCTTACCTTTCTGGATGCTTGACCCGGTTTATGGCAGACATAGAATGCTTCCAACCGCACGGGGGTTTCTATAGGCCATTGCTCCCCCTTGCCTTTCTGAGGAGGCCAGGTTCTGGCCATGGTCCCCGGTAGGCCTAAGAACTCCATACACATGACTGATGCCAAAGTCTGACATTAGCATATCAGCCTGGTAAAGCTCCGGGGAGCCGACGGGGCTATCCCCAGAAACAACCCTGGACCAAAGGGGATCTCATGAAATGTGCAGGAGAGAGAAAAGAAGGAACCTGACCAGAGGCCAGGCAGGATCAGGTGATACATGAGCAGGCCGGAGGTGAAACAGCACAATAAGCATGCGAAACCGTGCCAGGAAAACCACATCCATTAATGCAAGTCACAGTGGCTCCGCCAACACCACAGAAGAAGAGGTAATAGCAATCGGCAAAAGACACCGACCAAGGAACAGCCAGAAAGAAAGAGCAAAAAACACCCAGAACCAAACAACAACAAAGGGATAGAAAAAAGGTGAAAAGACGGCCAAGAGTCCATACTGTCGCCAGAAGAATTGCAGGTGGGACACCTATAACAAGCCATCTGATCACAGAGAGGGTGATCTACATGCGTCAATACACCAGACAGAAAGAGCGGAAGAGAAGGCTGAACCAACGATGAACACCACTCACCTGGCTCTCGGAAAGAGGCGGAGCCACAGAAATAGACCGAAATTGGACATCATGTTTGCAGCACCTGAAACCAAGGCTGGGCCAGCCTTAAGGGAGCCAAAAGGATCACACTCTCCCTGGCAGATTCCAGACATGCCAGAAAGCGGAGCAACAGCCGGACCGACGGAAAGAGGTAATGCACCCCTACTCCGACTAGTCCAACCAAAGGCGTCCACTGATGGGGAATGGCACCACAGAAGGTAGCAGACTCCAAGACTACGCAGACACGAAGAGACGTCCGGGCACCCAAACGTCTGGCAAAGCCAGGAACAGAAACAACGGTCCATTCAATGGAATGAAGCAAGAGACCTGAATGTGTAACGTGTAGAGCCAAACCCCGAGAACCCAGCAGAAGGGTTAAATGAAGTGACCAGCTCTAGAGGCATGGGCCGAAGAAAGGAATCAACTGGTTCAGACGAGACAAGTCCGGAATTTACCAGAGATCCGCACAGTCCCGTTTCAGGGCCCAGAAACATGTGGGAAACCCACCGAAGAGATAAAGTGAAATCGATCAAGCTCAAGCGAACCCACTCCGAGATGATCCAATGAATGTAAGAATTAGAGGCCTGCTCCACCAAACCCGAACCACCCAAAGGATGAATGGCTGCCCAATGCCAAGAAAGGTCACATGACCTGAAAATCCATGATTCCTGGGACCAAGCAAAAGAGAAAGAGCCAAAGCGAACCCGGGGAGCTAGAGATAAATAATACAGTAATTTACACTTGGGAAATACTTGAAGGACTGGGTCCAAATCTGCACACACAAATAATACCACATGAGACCAGAAGGCATAAGAGGATGTGCAAAACAGCCCCATAAAAAAACAGATGCAATAGGTACAAAGAGAGAAATCTTTCAACATCAAAGGCCCAAGGCTTTTCAACACTCTCCCAAACATGTAAGGGCATAACTGGCCAACCTCTCAATGTTCAAAAGGGAACTTGATAAACACCTTCACAGCACACCTGATCAACCAGGCTATGACTGCGACCAAAGAGCCAAAACCTCAACCCCTGCAAGCACAATTAGGCGAGAACATCAAGCTGCAAGCAGCTGTATCAACCATCCTGGTTGACCAGATCACCAACCAGAAAGCATGATCAGAGACATTCCACAGGTATGTTGATCCTTGAAATCTTCAAAAGGTAACCAAAAGGAAGGACTAAGCATCTGCCTCCAATGTCAGATGGACAGACAAACATTCACTTTTATAGATATAGAAATAATCACATGCACACATATCAATTTCATTTAAAGGTGGGTATAATTAAGAAAAGGATTTACACACTGATGATCATGAGTAGATAAAGAAACATGGTGTAGAAAAATAATTGATCCTAAACTGATAAACATAAAGCCAATTTACCAGCAGTTATCACTTGCTATTAATACTGAGTAGGCTGATTAGATATTTTAAAGTGAACACTAAGCCTCAAGATAACTCACCTAGACCTGGCTGTTCAAATATGCTGGAATTGTATATATACGTTGTAGAGACTGTGCCACCTTCATTGTAAAGCTCACTAGATTCTCCACTGCCACTGCTACAAGCATCCTGAATAAGAATAAAATTAAATTAGCTTGTTTAATGAGGACACTGGATTTTTCTTGTTTTCCCCTGTTTATTTAAAAATATAACACAGCCTGTAATTAACATTTAACTTAAGACTTTATACAATTTATAACAACATATTTATTTTAGTCCTTTGGGAATATACAAGTACAGTATCCACTCAATTTAACGGCCTCTTTTATACCGATCTGCTGGTATTAACGACCGGTTTGGGAGCCCAGTAGCTAGAGCCTGCTATACCGGTCTGCGGTCGATATTACCGACAGTCGGTATTGGGTTTGTTGTGGCATCAGCATCCCCTCACATGGCGACCAGGCCGCCACCGACCTGGATCGTCCAGAGTCATATATTACATCTTAATTTTCTTTTAAAATGATTCACTTTAATGAAGAAAATTGTAAATTATTATTAATAAAATATTTTGAAACAGTTTTTATTAAGCAAAAGTCTTTGTTTTCTTAATAAATACCTTTTATAGTATGTATAGGCACTAGGTATTTTTTTTTCCCACGGTCCTAGTATGTACTCCGCCGGGCCATGTGTTCCCATTGTTTACCGTGAACTCGCGCGGCTAGCTTCAATTGTGAAGGATATTACTGTACTGTAATTGTGATCTTTTTAATTTACAAAATGCCAAAAGTTACCCAAAGGAAGCGCCTGACGGTTGCACAGAAGCTGGAGTTAATTAAGAAACTTGATAAAGGATATTCTCATGCACGACCAGCAGCAGAGTTTAACATCGGGAAAAGTACAGTAAGTGACATCAAGAAACAGAAGGATACTCTATTAAAATATGCCTGAAAATAAGTGTACATACAGTATGTACCCTGTATACAACATAAACAATATAAAACAAGCGCTGCAGAGGATGACGTAATCTTCACAGCTTCGTAATCTTCAGCTTCATTAAAAGTAAGTCAATTTACCAATTTTATTATAGTATTACAAGATATTAATTGTTTTTTTTCAACAAAAGCTACATATTAGTCTCTGCAAATGTATATTCTATCGTCAGCAGAGAAAAGGTGAGCTCAAAATATTTCGTCTTGGCTAGCTCTCAGTGACAAGGCTCGATCGCCATTGTTATGGCATGGCCGCCACAGCGTGTGTTGTAACATTAAAAGTCAGTCAATTTACCAATTTTATTATAGTATTACAAGATATTAGTTGTTTTTTTTCAACAAAAGCTACATATTAGTCTCTGCAAATGTATATTCTATCGTCAGCAGAGAGAAAAGGTGAGCTCAAAATATTTCGTCTTGGCTAGCTCTCAGTGACAAGGCTCGATCGCCATTGTTATGGCATGGCCGCCACAGCCTGTGTCGTAACATTAAAAATACATTACCTGCACTGTTCAGGGTAAATCAAAACACATCTCTAAAATTTTATTAAGACAATATTAACTCGCTGATTGATACATGAAATATTTTTCAATACAAAGGAATGAATCAATTTTTTCCCACCCATCTGGACTTGATCAGAGCGTGTTTACAAAAAAACCAGCGTTGAATGTAATGAAACGCCATTTTCTGGGTGAGTCCCGGAGGCTCCCCGGAGCTATCCCAGGCTGATATGCTAATGTCAGACTTTGGCATCAGTCATGTGTATGGAGTTCTTAGGCCTACCGGGGACCACGGCCAGAACCGGGCCCCCTCAGAGAGGCAAGGGGAGCAATGGCCTATAGAAGCCCCCGTGTAGTTGGAAGCATTCTATGTCTGCCATCGACCGGAACAGGCACCCAGAAAGGTAAGCGCCCCAAAACAAACCCCTATTCTGGTTAAAATTGCTACCTAAAACCGAACTAGTGGATAGAACTCCCCAACCGAAAACAAGCAAACTAGTGTGACGTCACACACTGCCGCGCCGCTGTCTGCGCAGCTCCCCCCTCCCCGGGAGGGGGAAGGGGGAGCCCCAGACCCCCCGCGCCGGCTACCCACACCTCAGTTCTTGAGGCTGGATGTCAAAAACGCGAAAAACCGCCGACCGGAGGGAGGGAGGGATGCCGGGGAGCCTCCGGGACTCACCCAGAAAATGGCGTTTCATTACATTCAACGCTGGTTTTCTGGGGGGAGCCCCGTCGGCTCCCCGGAGCTAACTACCCACAGACAGAAAAAGAGGGACTTACCCGGGAGGCGGTCGTCGCTCACCCCTCAACTCGAAGCCGAGACAACTGGCTGCAACCGCCGACCCAAAGCAACACAGGCCCGACGAGGCCCAGGGACATTCACAAGGTAACGAGCAGCCAGGACCCTGTTCGACCGCCAAAATCCCCGCGCCCGAATATCAGACCAAGACATATTCCCAAAGACGGCAGCAAGAGCCGCGAACTTACGAACGTCATGGGCACGGGGATAGACCGCAGGCTGGCTGGACCTAATAACCCTGCGGACGACCTGAGAGACCCGAACCCGCGAACAGGGAAGAAGGGAAACCGGATCAACCCACAGCGCGTCCCCGGACACAGAAGCTGTGGCGCGCAAATAACGGCGAAGCGCCGCAACCGGACACAAAACATGATGCACCCCCGGCCTGACCAACCAAGCATCAACCACCCATGGACCCCTCCGGAACGCAGCAGTCTCATTCTTCGCCAGAAAAGAAGGAGACGGCTGCAAACGAACAAAACTATCACCACGACCAAAAGAGCAGAAACCCCTGCGCCGGAGGAGAGCATGAAGCTCCCCTACCCGACCCCCAGAGGCCAAAGCCAACAAGAAAAGTGCCTTGGAAAAACAATCCTGGACCGAAGGGGCCACAACGAAACGAGGAGATGAAAGGAAAGCGAGCACTCTGTCCAAAGACCAGGACGGCTCAGGCGACGCATGAGCAGGCCGGAGGTGAAACAATGCACGAGACAGCTTGCGAAACGGCGCAGACGTAACATCGATACCGAAAGCAAGCTGAAGCGGCTCCGCCAGCGCCGCACGATACGAAGCGACAGTGTTAGGCATAAGATGACGGTCCTGAAACAACCACGAGAGGAAGGACAAGACCACCCGAACAGACAAGGAGCTAACACGACGAAGACGCAAAAAGAAACGGAAGGACCGCCAGGAAACTTCATACTGCCGCCGAGAAGAAGCCCTCAGGTGGGACACCAACAAGGAGGCCACCTGATCACCATAGAGATGATGATAGACTCGAGTCAAAAAAACCATACGCGAAGACTCGAGGAGAAGATCGAACCAGCTACGTGACGTACCGGCCCGATCTGCTGAAAGAGGCGGAGCCGCGGGAAAACCCTCGGGTTCGGACACCGAGCAACCAGCGCCTGAAACCAAGGCTGGGCCGGCCACCAAGGGGCCAGAAGGACAACTCTCCCCCGGTAAGTCTCTAAGCGAGTCAGGACCTGGAGCAACAGCCGAACCGGGGGAAAGAGGTACAGGAACCCCCACCTCGACCAGTCGAGCCGAAAGGCATCGACCCCGACGGCCTCGCAATCGGGGAAGGGCGCCGCATAAACGGGAAGACGCCGCGACCACGCCGACGCGAAGAGGTCCACTTCGGGGCGCCCGAACGTCTGGCAAAGCCAACGGAAGGACTCGTCGTCGACCGTCCACTCCGTGGAGAGGGGAACGAAGCGAGACAGGGCGTCGGCCAAGACGTTGGACACGCCCCGTACGTGAACCGCCAGGAGAGCCAAACCCCGAGAACTCAGCAGACGAGTCACCCGAAGCGACCAACCCCAAAGAGACAAGGACCGCATCGAACCCCCGCGGTTCAGGCAATGAACCACCGGAGAGCAGTCCGAATGGAGCCGAATCGTCGATCCGCGGGCCACCCGAATCCTCCCCAGAGCAAACCACACTGCCGCGAACTCCCGCACCGTACTGTGAGCTCGACGGAAGGACGGATCCCAACGCCCCTGGCCGGCCTGGTGAGCACTGGTCACAAAACCCCAGCCGAGAGACGACGCATCCGTGTACACATCGAGCGAGGGCTCGGGTAGGCGCCAAGGCACTGAACCCCGAAAAACCCGAAGAGGAAGCCGGTGACGCAGCAACCGACGCAAGTCCCCCGGGGGTCGAACTCTGCGATCGCGAGAGAGGCGGAAGGGGGAACCCCGAAGGAACCAGAACAGCCGTCGAAGCCAAACCCGACCCGGCGGGTAGACCACCATCGCGAAGTTCAGGCTCCCGCACAGCCCCTCGAGCAACCGCCGGGTGACCCGAGGGCCCTCCAGAAACAGACGAAGGCGGGACCGCAGCCGCAGGAGAGACTCCGGAGGGAGAGACAAGGAGGCGGTTCGAGAGTCCCACACGAGACCCAGCCAAGTCCGAACCTGAGAGGGAACCAGATGGGACTTCCTCCAGTTCACCAAGAACCCGAACCCGGCGAGCTGGGAAAGAACCAAATCCCTGGCTAGCAAGCAAGCTGACTGGCTGGGAGCCCAAACCAGCCAGTCGTCGAGGTAGGCCAACACCCGAACACCTAGGAGACGCAAACGAGCCACCACAACCCGTGTAAGGCGTGTGAACACGCGAGGTGCCAGGTTCAACCCGAACGGGAGACAACGAAAGCGGTAACTCAGACGCCCCACTACAAAACCGAGCCAGTCCCTGAACCGCGGATGAATCGGGACATGCCAATAAGCGTCCCGGAGGTCCAGGGACACCATCCAAGCTCCCGGCTCCAAGAGGAGCCGAACCTGAGACAGCGTAGTCATCCGAAAGGAGGGGCAATGAACCCAGGGGTTCAGACGGGACAAGTCCAGAATGAACCGCAGGTCCGCGCAGTCCCGTTTCGGAACCGGAAACAGACGGGAAACCCATCTGAGGGACGACGTCGTTTCGACGACGCCCAAGCGTACCCACTCCAAGACGACTCGACAGAGCGCAGGGGAAGAAGCCTGCCCTGCCAGCCCCGACCCCCCAAAGGGGGGAGGGGCCACCCAACGCCACCGCAGGCCGCGAGACACGACCCGAAAGGCCCACGAATCGTGGGACCAGGCGCGGGCGAACAGCGCAAGCCGCCCCCCCATC